ATATATATATATATATATATATATATATATATATATATGTATATGTATATACATATTATTATTATTATTTATTATAATTATGATTACGAGTTGAGTGTATATAAAGAGAGCCGCAGTGTTTACCTCTTCTGCATGCAGCAGCACTGCTGCATCAGTGAAGTGTTGTGGGGCCCCCAGCAGCTGCAGGAGACAGCGTCTGTCTCTGTCTTCTGCTGCTCCGACTATATCTGCTGCTGCTGCTGCAACAGCAGCACATGCATCAGACAATACAACAGCTGTTGCTGCTGCTGTTGCTTGCCCCTCTTTCTGCTGCTGCTGCTGCTGCTGCTGCTGCTGCTGCTGGAGGATATCAGCAGCAACTGCATGCAGCCCCGTGTTGTGACAGAGAGAACTCAGGGCCCCTGCGAGCTGCAGCAGAGCATCACCAGCTGTCTCCTTTTTGTATTTATTGATGAGTGTATTCAGTGCAGCAACAAATCTATCTTTCTCCTTCTGTAGTGTTTCCTGTGTGCGTTTTTCATCGTCCTGCTGCAGTTTCTGCTGCTGCTGCTGCTGCTGCTGCTGCTGCTCTTTCTGCTGCTGCTGCTGCTGCTGCTGCTGCTGCGATGCATCCACCTGACACCGAATCTCAATCTGTTTTCCTGCTGGGGAGAAGTGAGGCGGCAGCAACCCCTCGTCTGTTGTGTTGAGGGCAATGAAGTCTTGGCAGCTCTCTAGCAGTTGCTGCATCGCAGCAGCTTCTGTCTGCTGCTGCTGCTTCTGCTGCTGCTTCTGCTGCTGCTGCTGCTGCTGCTGCTGCTGCTGGTGCTGGTGTTGCTGCAGTTGTTTCGGCTGCTGCGGCTGCTGCGTATGTACACTCAGCAACGCAGCAACAGCAGCATCCACTGCAGCAGCTGCTGCTGCAGGCTCAAACTGCAGGGGCCCCGTCAGCTCCTGCAGCAGCCCCGCCTTGAGGGCCCCCGCAGCTCGCTGTGAGTTCAGGTGTCTCCGCATGCACCAGCTGATAGATTCCAGCCACTTTGTGTCTGACCACTGCAGCGGGAGCAGCAGCGTCTCCTCTCCCTTGCTGCTGCTGCTGCGAGGAGCAGCGCGAGCAGCAGCTGCTTCTGCTGCTGCTGCTGCTGCTGCTGCTGCTTCTGCTGCAAGGGGC